AATGTCAATTTGGTTTCAGAGAAAACAGGTCCACTGAAAAAGCCATCTTTGAAGTAGTTAATTTAGTCAACAATTCCTTTAAAAATCAAAACAAAACTATCACTGTTTCGGGTATAAGAGGAGTAGCGTTAAACATCTTTGAGGAATATTTGTCTGATAGGATTCAGAGAGTTGTAATAAATGATTCAATTAGTGAACCTCTATTAATAACCAGGGGCGTACCTCAAGGAACGGTGCTTGGTCCTATCTTATTTCTAATATACATAAATGATATTTTTTCAGTGAGGGACTTCGAAGGTAATATAACTTCTTTTGCGGATGATACAGCATTAACTTTTGTCGGGAACACATGGGAAGAAGCTCATAGAAAGGCTGAGGTAGGTATGAATATAATTTTCCACAAGCTAAGTAATAATTTATTGAGTGTCAACGTCAAAAAAACAAAATTTATTGCATTCTCCTCAACAGAGAAGGATCAGCCCACTATTACAGATTTGTATTGCCAATTGCATATTTTCAATTATGGAATATCATTAACTTTAGGTCGATGATGGCTAATGAGCCCGAAACCGGTCTGCAAGTGTGCCCGTTCCAAAATTGAAGGTCGACTCTTTCAGTTGTATTGCCAATTGCATATGCAGGAAATTCTCTGTGAAGATTCCTGCACTGACGCCTGTCGGATATAATCCAACACCCTTCGTGGTATTAGCCAGGGTAGTAGTTGTTTTCTGAAAGACGTCAGTCCATTCAACCTACTGTGTAGGTATATTCGAGACTGGCTTGAACGTTTAAAGTTCATTTCTTTAGATTTGTTTACTGCCAGTCTTCAAACATAGCCCACTGACTAATAAGAAAGAAGAAAAAAATCCTTTCTTGTAAGACAGGTTGGAAAGTCTGCAAAATACCGCTGCGAGTTCATTTGCGCATTTTCTAAGTACGATAACGGGACTTCATCAGGGCCAGACGCCTTGTTGATATTGGGCTGTTTCAAAATTCGTCTGACTAGACGCTGTCAAAAAGTAATTTCTGGCATTAGACCATTCAAAATACGTTATATATTTGGGAAAATTGATAACAATTCCGCATTGGGTAAGTTAAAAAACATAGATTCAAATGTTTCAGCACATATTTCGAATATTATATACATTGTTTCTGCACCAAACTATGTATTGGTCAAATGGAGTGATCCTTTTCTTAGATAATTAAAGAACATAACAGTAGAACATAGGAGAGGAAGGCTTGAAACTGAATTATAACATAATAGATTCATGAATTCAAAAAATTCACTGGATGGCTAAATAAAATTGAATTTTTTACTCTGGTGAATCTATTTTTCAAGTTTATTATATGTACATTCAATGTGTTGGTGAATTTTTTCATGTTTGGATTTTCAGTTGGTTCATACCTTGACTCTGAAATTTTTTGTAATGCTTAAAATTTTTGATTAGTCTAAATCCAAACACTGGTAAAATCATATGTCCTCAAGCAGGTACAAGGTCACATCATTTAAATTGTTGTGTATATAAAGCACTAATTGGGTAGAATTCAGTCAGTATCAATACGCCTGAAGAAGCTAAGCAAAACACGTGTTGCGGATTTGTAAACTGCACAGCCAAAATCTCACAAAAAAGTTTAACTTGAATATTTCTGCAATTTAAACAAACATTTTTGTGGGGCCTTTTCTATAAGTTACAAATCACACATTGACTTATATTGCTCCATAATTTAATCTCAGCGAATAATTGCCGAGAGATAGAACATACAGAGTGGTCCAAGGAAAAGTATGCACCTTGCTTTTCTCTTTTTTTTTGTAACTTAACGCAAAAATGCTCGGACAGGTCAATTTTGCTTTTGAGGGGGACACATTTTAGATGTATTTTTCTACCTGTGCCTTCAACTCCCTAGCGAGGGTGAGTAAAAACCCTAAAATTTTAAATGGAAAGTGGGGTGATTTATCATTTGAAAGGGCACAAAATTATCTTTCCAATGATACCTAATTTGTTGTATTTCACTCAAACATGTAGGTATTATGAAGAAAAACAACTACAACCCAGTACTTTGAAATGTGTAATTGACTTAGTAGAATCCTACTTCAGCAAGTGCTGAAAATGTGACCCATTTGCTTCCATACAATAATACAGATTTTATTCAAATCTATTCCTAACATTCTGTAGCATAACAGGTGTTATACTTCTGCATGAACGTTTGCCTAAATTTTTTTTGTACACTAATCTGCTGTTGTTATTTGAACCAAAAAACGCACGAGAGAAATTGAGGAATGTAGTAGTGATATAAATGCCGTTTTTTCCTCATTTTCATTAACACAAAACATATCTATTCAAGTAAATACAACAAATTAGGTATCATTGGAAAGATAATTTTGTGCCCTTTCAAATGATATATCACTCGACACCACTTTCCATTTAAAATTTTAGGGTTGTTACTTACCCTCGCTAGGGGGTTGAAGGCACAGGTAGAAAAATACATCTAAAATGTGTCCCCCTCAAAAGCAAAATTGACCTGTCCGAGCATTTTTGCGCTGAGTTACAAAAAAAGGAGAAAAGCAAGGTTCATACTTTTCGTTGGACCACTCGATATAATGACTGTACTATAACTTCAACATGGAACACTTGTCAAACCCGATGGTGAAAGATGAGGGTAACAATGTTATTCGTAATAAATAAATATGAATAATTCCAATTATCATTTCATTTCATACGCTTCATTGAGTAGCTTATCCTTGGCTGAGTTCACTTGTTGATTTCTTTTATTTTATCGTTTATCTCGCTATTATTTTCATTAGATGTGGGCTGTCTATAGAAATTCGTTGTTTGGCGGCGTAGATTTCGAAAAGAGAAAAGCTCGTTTCTAGTGATATTGATGTGGTTGTGTTAATGGCGTTTTAGTAAAAATGTGATGAGATTTAATACTAAACTTGTTTAATTCCATGTTAGTTGAGATGTAATTACGTTTCTCATTACCAGCATTAATTGGGAATATAATGACCGACGGATTTTATATATTTAACAAAAAGTGCAACTTTTTCATATGAAACTGGATATAATTATTGATTTGCGACTGATAATATATTCTTAACTTTTCATAAACATATATAATTTCTTTCAATTCAAGTTTAACTCCCAATTTTGTGTTATACAGTCTTATGTATTTTCTTTTCCAGAAATTCTTTTTTGTGAAGAAATTCATTAGATTCTGCTCAGTTTTTTTAAATATTTTTATAATCATTACGCAGTCAAAATTTTGATAAATATCTATCGAATATGCAGTGAATATATAATGAATGGTTCAAAATAGCTTATTCTTTTCTCATGAATTCTTCTGAAAATATTCATCTTCCAAAATTTAAAAAAATAAAAATTGTACAGGTAGTTACACCTTTCAGTTCACCCCAAAAAGTACTGCTTAAATTCAATGTGTGTTTCACAAAAGAGCTAAAATTTGTACAGTTCCTCAACTTTTCCAAGGCCAGAATTTATAAGTTGCAATTTTTCCTCTTTCATTTGTTTGATTTTCAAACTTCCTCTGAAATGAAATAATAGTGAAATCAAATACAAGTAAAAATAGAACAATTGTATAAATAAAAATAAAGAAATAAAAAAGAAAGAAAATAAAAAGTGAAGAGATTCCAATTCATGTTAGTTCACGACGTTTCGATTGTTAGTATCTACAGTCGTCTTCGGGTGATGACTGGACTGATTCCTCCGAGAGATGACTATTTATAGGTCGTTCGAGTACTTTCACTTACCCCCGCTTTCCATTTTCCGCTTCACTGGTTCCGTGGGAGATGACCGCTTGGCGGGAGTTGTCCATTTTTCGCTTGATGATGGGTTTCCATATGTTGCGTATTTCTACGCTGGCCTGGCTGAATACGTTGTTGGACAACATGTATGCGGCTTCCTTTAATTTTCTCCTAAACCAATGTTCCTCTCTGTGCAAGATCTCAGCTTGGGACCACTCGATGTTGTGTTGATGGGTCCAAACATGGTCTGCTATTCCAGATTTGCTGGTTTCCCCTCGCTGTGTGTGTTTCTTGTGCTCGGCAATGCGAACATTCAATGGCCTCTTAGTTTCACCAATATGGGATTTTCCGCACTCACAGGGTATCCGGTAAATGCAATTCTTGGAATCGCAGTCCGCGTTTGGTGGCCTGGTTTTCGTGAGGCTGTTACGGATAGTGTTACCGGATCTGAAGCAGGTTCTGATGTTGTACTTGGAACCAATTCTTATCCTCTCCGATAATCCTCTGATGTAGGGAAGTGCAAGCACTGGTTGTGACGGCTTCTCTTCCTTGCGAGGCTCCTGCTGTCTTCTAGCCAAAGTCTTTTCTACCATCGTTTTGAAGTAACCATTCCGTTGAAGATCATTTTTGATGATGTCTAGTTCCTTCTCGAGACCTTCCTTCGTATTACAGAGCCCAAAAGCACGGTCTAATAGAGTCTTGATGATTCCTCTTTTAGTCGATTGATGGTGGTTGGATTCGTGGTTCAGATACTGTCCCGTATGAGTGGGTTTTCGGTATACAGATGTTTCCCACTTAGTATCGGTCCTCTTCACTGAAACGCCATTCTTAGACGTTTTGGTATTTTATATAGTAGACAATGGAAGTCCGAACTAGTGAAATTCATCATGAAACATCATGATTGTCAATCACCTTCAAACAAATTTTATTAACACTTACTTAATTCAAATACCACTTTTGACTAGTTTTCTTGACAATTATTACCTATCTTCATTGGAAGAATACTTTTATAATTCAGTCTTAATTTTGCTCTAGCACTGTTAACACCCATTTCTGTCAATGAAATTTATTTTTTTAAAAAGGACTTCAAAATCCAAAAGTTATATTTTATGATACTTTCCGCTTTCCATCAACTTTAAGCTGAATATCCAAATAACATAAAAGAACGATACACGCGATATGTTGATTTTAAAAAACCCACTATAAAAACGTGACCTCCTACGACACCGGTACAGTATTGATTTCTGCCAAATATATGTTCTCGAGAAATATATATAGAGTCATCGTTATGGGAGAATACAATCGCAGAAGAAGAGTGACAGTAGATTTGGATGATATCGAAATACTTCCATCGAAAGTGAGCGTGGAAAAATTGTTGCAAGTACCTGTTGGAGACAAGGAAAACGTATTAAACAGAAATAATAAAAGTGGGTTACGAAAAAGAAAACAATCCGGATGTTCCCCCCTTCAAAGGAACATCTGTGTAAAATTGCCAGGTAAAATTTTTGGAGCAGGACTTGCATTATTTATATTCAATACCAAACCTACAATTCACCATTTGTATTGTGATACTGAGACCTTCATTCCAAGTTATATGAGAAATAAAGTGATACATATACGATTTGACAGATTCAAAATGGTAAATTGGTTACTAGTAATTATTCATAGTATGATATAGTTCATGTGACACTTCATTTGGGCAGTTTTTTAATACTGTGTTCTTTGATAACTCAACAAAATGATTTGTTTGTAAGGGGTCAGCCGATTTTTTTCAATGAATCCATAATAATGAAATCTACATAAGTGCTAACATGAGGTACACTGAAAAAGTCACCTCCGTAATTCTTAATAAAAAGTCTGGTTACTCTCTAGTTAGTTTATAAATAATTGCCTTTCAAAGTTGATGAAACTAATGTTTATATACTGAGAATTTGGAAAGAGTTATCCATTTTACTTTTACAACTCCGATTTTCCACTAGTAACCACAATTATTGGAAACTCTTTATTGACAGGTTTTAAAAAATTGGAAATGCTAAGATAACACATTCCGTAGGCCAGAAGACAAAATATTGTTCAGGAAAACATTCCACGTTGATATTTCCAGTCTTCAACATTTCACTGAATGATGACTAGTTAAAATTTAAAGAAAATCAGGGCGAACATTTCTTTTCTGAACTTTTCATCCTTTGAATATATCAACGATTGATTTATTCACAATCATTCATCCATTTTCGTGGACATGAAAATATATCAAGTCATTGACAAAGAGAAAAAAAGTTCCATGTTCCAGATTCTTTTTGAACTCGGTTTTACTGACATTGTACTAACTTTCAGATCCAAATAATGACGATTGTTTGTCGTGTATGAAAGGTCGAGATGGATATAGAAAACCACTCGTGGACCTATTTGGCAACCGACAAGAAAGTCAACTGTTCAATCACAGCAAAATATATGGTTCAGAAAGAAGAATCGAAGTTTCCATTTTTCAACAGGAAGAGAATTTGATTCATTCACCAACAAAAAAACCTGGTGAGTAAAAGTCCCCACAAGAATCGATAGTTCGACCTGGAAATTCATTCAATTATTTTCTTCGCAACGACGTTTTAAAAAAATATTTCACTCAGAAATTGATAAGCGCTACTGAATTGTATTCTGGTTTATATCAATTAGTGTAATATTTACTACTACTTTTTATTTTTTGTTTTCATAGCTTCAATAACTAACAAAGTTTTTCATTGAACTGTGCTGAATTGGGTCATCCTGTAGTGTTTGAAACCTGTTTAAATATTGAAAATATGTTTCCAATATTAGAGTCGAATAACTTCTATTTCATATTTTTTGTCTTGTCTCTTCTCTAATTTATAGTCAGAAACTAAAACTAACTTGATAGTACTGACAATTTCTACAATATTGAAGCTCTACTTGGATAAGTCATTCAAAATCCATTTTATAATGTACCTCATGTACATGTATTCATTTTATTTTTGATACACTCCTAATAAAGTCTTGAACATCAAACTAATATTCACCTCAACCTAATTAATATCAGGGGCACTACAGAATTCAGAATGTACTCCAAATTCATTTGTGCTGGTCTAAAAAATAAAGTCACGAAATAACTAATAAATGTATATTAATTACAGCACTTCTGCCTGTTTTTCCGTGTCTATTGAAAACAAGATGTTTATTCAAAGGAGATATATCTGGAATATTTTCCAAAAAGAATAGCTTTCCCCATATCAATTCAATATCGAAAAATGTTCTGAAATTCATTCATCATAGTTGAAGACAAGATCTGGAGAAATCGTAAAAACAAAAAGTTAAAAAAAGTTTATTGGTACACCAAACTGTAACTATACCAATCAGTGGTCATTTTCAATTTACTTCAGTAACGATAGTAACCTAGTTTCCTTGGAGTAATAACTTTTTTCGATTCGAATTCGAAGGAACTTGTATTGTGCATTTTTAAAAATACTACTTTCCTTCAGGTTTACCCACGATTTCACTATTTTCAAATTGCTATTGTTCCACTCAAGAAACAATGAAATGCATCAGGTGCATAATAAAACCGAAAGTTTTCAAGATAAATGGACTGTCTCGCCACATGGCCTTTGGTTGAACTAGATACGTATTGCAAAGTATTAGTTCACCGAGGTTATGATTCTTTACTTAATATGATCTCACAATAGATATTAGTATACACAGAATCTCAACTGAGAAAGTAAATCATAGACCATATCATTTTCAGGTGTCTATGGCATTATTTGCCAAACGACTCCTTTTTATTCATTAATTTCAGCAATTAATTATATGATTGTCAACTGGGTTATGGATGAAGAGTTTATTCCATGATATTTTTCGATTATCAAAGTTATCAATTATTTCAAATTGGTTGAACAAGTGGCACAGAAAAAACTTTCAATAATTTCGAAATATTGATTTTCAAACATTCCTTTTAGGAAGTTATTACAACAAAGCATTATTCATATCATGCCTAGCTGCTAAAAAACTGCATCAATTTCCTTTCATTTGGAAAAACGTTATCAGGAAATGTATTCCACATAAACGCAGTTCTCCATGGAAGAGTTCTTGAACTCTTCCATGAATAACTGCGTTTATTACAAACGCAAATTACAAAATATACACACTATATCAATTTTTACAGAAAAACACGTATATTCATATACTTATACACGAATGTTCAACAAGTTTTAACCAAATCCAGAAATTCATCAATTGCATATATAGGATTATTGGTCAAGAAAGTTTACACACTTTTTTCAAATTTGTTGATAGAACTGTCCCTTATAGTCCTCGGCAGTAAGTTATAGTAGAAACTTCCAGCCCATTCTGGTGCCGCTTGTGAGAAGATTCCCTCATCTTTTTTTTGTATCAAGATGGAATAGTAGAAAGCAAAAAACTATCTTTCCCAAAAACTAATCACTCCTAAAAATATAACCCCTTCAATTCAGATTTCGAAAACTTTTTAAGTGTATTGTGATTTCTTGTCGAATAACTGTGAATATCCGAGTTTTTCTCTATGTTTTTAATGTTTTTGGGAAAAAAAGTTTTTGGCTTTCTACTACTCCATCTTGATACAAAAAAAAAGAAGAATGAGGGAGTCTTCCGAAGAAAGGAAGGAAGTAACTCTATACATGGATGTGTAGATCATGCAAAGAAAGTCTGAAAGGAAGTCCTCCTGAAACAGCTACTTTCATATAAACATTGAATCATACGAAAGAAAAAAATTCTTTCGAAACAAATACTTCTATATGAACACTGAATTATACAGAAGATACTTTTCTCTACTCAGTTAGTATTTCAAACATTTGTTGTGGAATAAGATCAGATGTCATTCACATGAGTTCTACTTTAAATGAATGGTGACAAATTGCACTTACATAGAACACTGCCATCCTCACTGGTATACACCGATGTTTCGTCTTAAGACACTTGCCCTAAGGCTCTTCAGTACCAAATTGGATATTATTATGGAAAATACACACACTTCATTCATGAATTACGATTTTTTTTGTATCAAGATGGAGTAGTAGAAAGCCAAAAACTTTCTTTTCCAAAAATTAATCACTCCTAAAAAATATAACCCCTTGAATTCAAATTTTTAATGTTGTTATGAACGTATACTAATATTTTCAATGAATAAATTCCCAGTACAGAAAGTATTTTATTTTCTTCAAAGACTGATCTACACGATTCTCGATATTCTAGATTGAAAATCAGCCGTATAATTCTTTTTTGATTAATGAATACACGACTACATTCCGTTGCTTGTCCCCATGTGATAATGTTATAACTAATTACTGAATGAGCGAGAGCATAGTAAACATTGATCAGCGATGCTTTGCTCAGGGTATATTTTAACCTGTAATTAGCAAAAAATGTTTGGTTCAATTGTTCAGACCAATTGAATTTTTCATTAATGATAGTGCCAAGAAATTTATAGTTCACGCTTTTAGGTACCTTAAAATCTTCTATTTCGACAGGAATCTCTTCACTGGCTACCCGTTTCAATGAAAATTGCATGTATTTTGTTTTCTCTAAATTAATAATCAATTGATTGATATTACACCAAAGTACAAAATCTTCAATGACATTGTCTGTTTTTATGCAAACTTCTTGGAAAGTATCCCCTGTAACTACTATTGAAGTATCATCTGCATACATGAACAACCTACCTCCTTTGATAAAGTTAGGCAAGTTATTCATATACAAGAGAAAAAGAAGAGGTCCGAGTCCCTTGTGGGGTCTCTAAATCAATTTTTTTGCACTTGCAAAGTTCTATCCCAATTTTGATATAGTTTCTTATGAACAAAATCAGCCAATCATTCACCACGCCTCGAATACCCAATGCATCCAACTTCTTTTGCATGATTTGTGGATTAAGGACATCAAAGGCACGACATAAGTCGAATAGGAATATTTATTCCTATCACATAATTATTCTGTTCAATATTATTGTATATATACTGTACCAGGTCTGATGTTGCAGTTTCTGTGGATTTTTTTTCCAAAGGAGTCAGCAGATTAAATTTTCCTAAAAAGTTTGAGAGTCTCTCATGCATGCATCTCTCCAATACTTTAGATAATGGACTGAGAATGGAGATGTCCCTATAATTATCAACATTTTTGGAGAACACGCCTTGAATATAGGTATTGTTTCTGATACTTTCAGAACATCTGGGAATTTTCCCTTTTCTACGTAGAAATTTATTATTCTGGCAAGAAAAGGAGATAAGAATTCTTTGCAATTTTTTATGAGTTCAATCGGAATCTCATCGATACTAACCGATTTCTTATTTTTCAGTCGACATTTTCCACTTCAAACTCAGACAATGTATGGTTGTTATAGTTATCTGTGGAACCAGAGTTATCAACACTTAGGTATTTATATGTCTGTCTGAAGTGATTATTGCTGTGAAGCAATCGTTCATTCCACAGGATCTGAGCTCTGCGATCTTGCCTTATCTTTAGTACTTAGTATTCTTCAGTATTTCGAAAATATATTTATTTGAAATTTCAGGTTTCAAAGAAAATAGCCCACGTCTGACCAAATCTGATGAACAATGTGAAACACTGAAAGAAACTCCACAAAGGAAAAGAAAACCTTCCATGGAAATAATAGATGCTCCAAGTCCTGGCGTCGCGAGAACATTCAGTTTCATTTGTTTTTCCAACATTCCAGAAAATGAAACCCATAAACAAGGTGAGAAATATGTTTTTAGAAATCTCAAAAAGTATTTGAAATCTAACTAGAAAACAAAAGTTGAAACTATCGTACTTGACCTGTAATTGAATCCAAAACATCTACCACACTAGCGCATATTTGTAATCATTACCACAAGAAGCCATCTACGAGTTAGTGTGACTCTTTGAGTTTCTGATCATTTTCATTTCGATGCAGTGACAAATTTTGAAAAATATCAATTTTGATAGAGGTGATGATAGAAGTTTGATTGGTAGTGTCATAATATAGATCCAACAGCAAGTTCTTCAGCTGTATCAGGAATCCATATTTCAATAGTATATTGATTCGAAATTTCAGGTTTCAAAGAAAATAGTCCACGTCTGACTAGATTTGAAGAACAATGTGAGATATTGAAAGCGACTCCTCAAAAAAGAAAACGCTCCGTTGACACAGTAAATGAAAGGAAAATTTTGCAAAGAATAGATGGTTCGACCCCTGGTATCGGGAGAACATTCAGTTTCATTGCTGTTTCCAAAAGTTCAGAAAAGAAATCGCAGGAACAAGGTGAGAAATATGCTTTGAGAACTCTTAAGAAGTATTTTTAAATCCGCTATTTTTATGAATTTCGATTGAAGTGATTTTTATTTACGGTGAGACGCGTAACTTTCACGAGACCGAAAGGATTTTCAATGAACGTTTTGCGAATCGTCCTATCTGTAGAAAATATTTGAGGGAACTTGTATCCATATTCACAACTACTGGCAGGTACATAACAAAAAGCCCATAAGTCATCTGTCCATTCCGGAAAAACAACAAGTGCAAATAGTTGGTGAAGTGGTAGTAAATCCTGAACAGTCTACTTATTCCGTCGCGAATTTTTGTGAGGTGTCTCCTTCACCAATTAACTGAAGATGACCCTGATCGAAGAACAGAATTATGCGAAATCATGATGGAAAACATTGCGAATCATCTTACCAATCACCACAATCTTTGTTTTAGTGACGAATGTACATGTTTTTCAAACGACAATGTTCACAGACAAAATTGCCGTTATTGGAGTGACACCAACCCTCACGTTTTCTGGGAGACACATACCCAATATCCAGAAAAAAATAACGTTTGGGCAGGAATATTGGGAAACCATATTGTAGGACCTCTATTTATTGATCAAAATTTAACAGGGGAACTGTATTTGAATATGCTGGAAACAACTGTTAACCCTCTCATCACTGAAATCGTTGAAGCGAATCCCATGAAGAATATTAAACCTTTCAAGCCAAAATTTTTACACACACTTCAAGAAGGCGACGAAGCTGGAATATTGTTTATGGGCCCAAGGGGAATATTTAAACAATAGAAATTTCCTAAAAAATATTTTTTATACCGACGAAGTCACTTTCACTACAAATGGAGTATTGTCGTACAGAATTATCGCTATTGGGCAGCGGATAATCCTAACTATTGATATTGAACGAACGAATTATTGGTCCTTTCTTTTTTGAGGAAAACATTAATACGCAGAGGTTTCTAGAATTTTTAAACACGGAGTTTTGGGATGCTATTCACGAGCTGCCAATCAATGAACGATCAGATGTGTGTTCAGTTCACCAATGGATAGGCCGTGGTAGTCCGTTTATAGAGTGGCCACCCAGATCTCCAGACCTCACAGTTTTGGACTTTTTTCTCTGACAACTTCTCACACAAAAGGTTTACAAAAACCGCTCAAGAGATAGAAATGAACTTTGTGAAAGAATTCGACAGGTATGTGCAGATATTAGCCCTCAAGAACTAAGGAACGTAATCAGAAACATTCGTAAGCGCTACGACGCATGTATCGAAATACGTGGTGGATTAGTAGAGGCTACTAGAATATGAGTTAGAATTAATTGTTGCACTGAATCGAAACATTTCAATAATTAGTTATTAGTTACGTTTATTAAAATGTTTTGCTTCATTGTTAGTTGAATTGTGTGAATGTAATTCCGTTATTTTCATTAAAAATATTTACGCTATTTGTTTTTTTTTCATCTGGCGGCACTTTGTTGTTGAAGTTTTCGAATTTTTGAGTTGTCATAACTTTGTTAATAATGAATATTTTTTCATAAAATTTTGGTCACACCTATATAGAGGCACTCTAAATCCAATGGCGTGGTGATTTTTTCAATAAAAAAATCGCCAACAAAAAATCCCGATTTTCGACTAAGAAAAAATATCGTAGTATGCCCTGAAACTTGAATAAACATTTCAAGTTTTGTCCCAAGGTAGACCTTTTAATACTTGATATTTCAAAAAAAAAATATTAAAATCGATTTACAACTTCAAATTTTAGGGGGGTGTATCCATTAAAAATGGGTCACATTGCCATGGCACGTGAACTTATGTTCAAATTGTATACATTTGTTATTTACATCTTTTGAAAGTCACTATACAAACTATTTTGTCTACAATTTGTTAAATTTTATTTTCTATATTTAATCTATTAGATATGTGAATTTAATTTTGCTCAAATTGTGTTTCTGTGTATTTGTGTTTTTGAATTGTTTCTTTTCTCTAATTCCTTGAAGTACTATATATACCAGATGTTTTAACAAGCTTTGTCAATAAGATTGCATTTTCTTGGACAATAAAGTATATGTCTATTGTATAGGGTTGTGAAGCATTTGTTTAGGAGCCTCAAAAAGATTTGTCACAAGACCCCCATCTTGAAAGTTTCATCTGTCAATTTCACTTAAAAATAAAGTATTCATGCATTAATTTCATTATCCCAAATTTCAATTTTTTCAGTTGACCCATTCAAAAAATAAAAGTGGGGGGGACCTTAAAGAAATATTAAATATTGGTTAGCAAAAGCAGACATATTTTCATATTTTTTCGTGAATAATTCAATTACTGAAGGGAATACAGTGATGATGCAGATTATGTTTTGAATTTTTGAATACCGTTAATTGCAAAACGTTTTAATAGATTGAATTGGAGACCCTGACGTGAAATTAGTCTAATAACTGACACTCGCAAACCACGTTTTAACTTTCGTAACTATTTGTCAAGTCCAAACATGCTTCTCAAAAACTGAAGATTTTTATTACTCTAGTGTAAATGGGTCTTCAAAACACCCTACTCAGAATATTTCATTACTTCACGAATATCTTGAGAATACATCTGAGTAATGTTTGGGAATTTCCTTTTTTGTAATACTTTGAAGTCGTTCGAAAAAAACCCAGGTCCCAACTACCCAGACTCTCAAGACGCAAGTCTACCGCAGACAGTTTATGAACTTGAAAATTAAGGATTCAACCCGGAGGCCCTTTGTTAAAGAACAGTCGAACGTGCAGAGGCCGAGCAGAATAAAGGCAAGAAGCAGAAGCTGAAATATTCATACTAGTCCCAACATGTCCGACAACATACCGGCCTTGATGCTTTCGTGTGGTTCGATCACGATGGGTCGCTATTTGGGCACTCTTTTGTGGGGTTTAGCGCTTTTCTTCGCCGCGGGTCCAGGCTTTGCATTCAACGCTATTCTCGACCTACCTGATAAACAATGCGTGCGAGATACTGGGTGTGCAAAAAGTGAAAGAAATTTTTATGACAACCGTTTATGGAAAATTTTCGGTAGTTTCATCACAAGAAGACTAACCATTTCATAATTTTGTGAAATGTATCAATAATGAATACAAATGAATTCTATAATGTTGTTTCAAAAGTTTCATCCGGTTTTATCTGTCTTTTTTAGACTGTAATATCTCAGTGAATACTTATTCAATTCTATCGAAATATTAATTACTTCTTGGATAAATTAAAATAAAGAAAGAGATTCTCAATCGATGTTTTTATTAAAAAATAATCCATACTGTTATGATTGTGATGAAAAAAAATATGGAAGTTGCAAGAAATACAACTTAATATTTCAATTGTTTTCACCTTCTTCATCGTCGTCTTGCGGCCACTCTTGTAATCCGAAGTCCTCTGCTTCAACGTCTACAACGACATTTATCTCCAGGTATTCACTGACATCGTTGTGATATGGTATATCACTGAGACAAACTTGCCCATTACGCTGAGCACAAGCTGACGGGCCCTAACCCCAATTTTCTACATCCACATCGCGAACCAGAATCACTCTTGAAGTTGCAGAATATCCTGTTGAGCAGTTTCTCTGGATTAGGTGCTAAAATTGTTGTGATAGGTTCCAGGAGTTCGTGACACATTGTCCAACCTCATTCCTGGAGTTCCAAATCATGTCCTAACCAAGTTTGAACTTGATAATAAACACGATTGAAATGTTGGTGAGCTGTTGTATTCATTGGTGGTTCATTCAGTTTATTCAGTTTTGTAGACTTGACGTATTGTTAATAAGAAAGATGATCTATAATGTTCACAGATTTAGGAACATTATAGATTGTCAACAAGATCTGAATTTCATTCTCAAATAGTCTTCGAAAAGTACAGTTGACCTTGAATGATTTTCTAACAACACGCTCTCCGCCATCAAAATATATGAACTATTTTTGAAACAAATGTTCTAGGGAATTTAATCTTCTACTCTACAATATTGATATCGAAATAAAAACAAACCCATAGCAAAAAATGTGCAAAAAATCCATTTTTGTGACATTTGAACTCTGATATTAATAATCGGGTTGACCCTACCATATGTAGGTTTTGAGACAACTTTCAGGATATCATAATACAAGTATATATGACTTCATAGCAGGGTATCTCAAATTCCAAGGTGATCTTACTGAGACAAAAGCGACGAGGGACTTTATTTTATAATATGTAGTGATGAAATGGGCGAATTCAGAGACTTTTAATTTGTAAATAATTTCTGAATTCAATAATTGATCAGATTTGTGTAAATTTCCAGCTGGCATCTGATATACTAATTTGAAAATACGTTTAATTTTTTTTTGCAATTTTAGTATTGGCCTATCCCAAAATGACTACTAAATATTGCATATTTGAGTTTAACAGGAGGTGACAAATATATTTTGAAAATTCATGCGAAGATAAGTTCGAAAGAATTCAACTGCCACAGCATTGGTATCGAAAATTTTGAGATTACAGTCGAAATTTCGAGTTAAAAGTCGAAATTTCGGGATTAAATTCGGAATTTCGAAATTAAAGTCGTAATTTCGAGATTGAAGTCAAAATTTCGAATTTGAAGTCGTAATTTCGAAACTGAAGCCGAAATTTCGAATTTGAAAGTTGTATTTCCTAGTAAATTATTTTACCCATCCATTTGAGTGTTAACACTTTGCGTTATTTTTTGTTACAACAACAGCGCCTGCTGTAAAGGTAAAAAACGAAAAGTTCCAATTTTTGGCTCACCCTGTACTCTCCCTAAACCACTCCACTTTCCATACTCGATACGGAGTGCGCCCCACGTAGACCCAGTCCGAACTTCTCGCTGACTCACTCGATATTCTCTCGGATCTCGGATGGCAGTCAGTTGTTTGTTTGCTTTTAACGGAGGTAGATTGTACGTCGTGCAATTAAAAATCGATATACACGTGTTTGTGATTTCGAATTATCGGTCGTTAATTTCCGTGTGACAGAGACTTGCC